GTATATGGATCACATGACACTGATATTAAACAATATAAGATACAATATGTGGACCACATTGATAGTAAACAATGTATGATACAATATATGGATCACACTGATATCAAACAATATAGGATACAATATATGGATCACACTGATATTAAACAATATAGGATACAATATGTGGACACATTGATAGTAAACAATGTATGATACAATATATGGATCACACTGACATTAAACAATATAGGATACAATATATGGATCACATTGATAGTAAACAATGTATGATACAATATATGGGTCACATCACACTGATATTAAACAATATAGGATACAATATGTGGACCACATTGATAGTAAACAATGTATGATACAATATGTGGATCACATGACACTGATATTAAACAATATAGGATACAATATGTGGATCACATCACACTGATATTAAACAATATAGAATACAATATGTGGACCACATTGATAGTAAACAATATAGGATACAATATGTGGACCACATTGATAGTAAACAATATAGGATATAATATGTGGACCACACCTGTAGTGAACAACATACAATCGGCTGAGTAACTTGAGGATTAAAAATTTCACTCTGGAGTGGACTGTAGCGAGCCTCACAACAATTGTATGCAATTAACCCACCAACCTTTCACCCATCAACAGAGTAAACGAAGGTACAACAAAGCATAAAGTTTATAATGTGTGTTTCTGAGTGTTGCCCCAAACCAATGAACAACAATAATGTCGTTATTCTTTATCCTCAAGTATAACGTTTATAGTATGTGTTTGTGAATATTATTATTAACCATTTACCAACAGTATTGTCATGGTTCTCTCTCCACCAATAGGAAGCGTACAGTGTAGCTCGACAGTTTAATCAGATTCCTCCAATCATGGAACAGACAGAGTATCACATGTTCCAAAGGGAGAAGGTGGAACTATGTCATCCGGAGCTCTTCCATAAGATTGGTTTGTACTTCAATGTACCACATGGTTAAAAGGAACTATGTCCAGTTTTGTAAGATAGTAACTTGATAAACGAGACTATGCCTAATTTTGTAAGATAGTAACTTGATAACGAGACTATGTCTAGTTTTGTAAGATAGTAACCAGATAAACGAAACTATGTCTAGTTTTGTAAGATAGTAACCTGACAAACGAGGCTATGTCCAGTTTTGTAAGATAGTAACCTGATAAACGAGACTATGTCTAGTTTTGTAAGATAGTAACCTGATAAACGAGACTATGTCCAGTTTTGTAAGATAGTAACCTGATAAACGAAACTATGTCTAGTTTTGTAAGATAGTAACTTGATAGACGAGACTATGTCTAGTTTTGTAAGATAGTAACCTGATAAACGAGACTATGTCCAGTTTTGTAAGATTGTAACCTGATAAACGAAACTATGTCTAGTTTTGTAAGATAGTAACTTGATAAACGAGACTATGCCTGATTTTGTAAGATAGTAACCTGATAAACGAAACTATGTCTAGTTTTGTAAGATAGTAACTTGATAAACGAGACTATGTCCAGTTTTGTAAGATAGTAACTAGATAAACGAGACTATGCATAATTTTGTAAGATAGTAACCTGACAAACGAGGCTATGTCCAGTTTTGTAAGATAGTAACCTGATAAACGAGACTATGTCCCGATATTTGTAACTAAGGAAGGAAGATATTTGTAACTAAGGAAGGAAGATACTTGTAACTAAGGAAGGAAGATATTTGTAACTAAGGAAGGAAGATATTTGTTACTAAGGAAGGAAGATATTTGTAACCACGTCTGCGAAGGAGTTCCGAATTATTTGTCAGTGAAGACGATGAAATTTAAAAAAAAGTGTTGATAGTTATCATTTCTTTGAATCCATTAACTTAGAATGTGAAGATTCCTTCCTTAGTTACAAATATCTTCCTTCCTTGGTTACAAATATCTTCCTTCCTTGGTTACAAGTATCTTCCTTCCTTAGTTACAAATATCGTCCTTCCTTAGTTACAAATATCGTCCTTCCTTAGTTACAAATATCTTCCTTCCTTAGTTACAAATATCTTCCTTCCTTAGTTACAAATATCTTCCTTTCTTGGTTATCCTCCTCTCTATACGTTTTAGTACCGGTATGGGCGCATGCGTGCCTCTCCCTTTCTCTAGAGCACTGGAAGGGTTTTTTTTGTTTTAAATTTCATTGAAAGCTACACGAGGGCTATCTGCGCTAGTGTGTTCCTAATTTAGAAGGGATAGACTAGAGAGAAGGCAGCTAGTCAACAATGCCTACCTCCAACATCCTCTGTATAACCAAATAAATTTTAAATTTCACATATAATCCCCTGTATAACCAAAAAGGCTTAATATGAATTTTGTTTTTATCTTTAAAAATTGTGATACTAACCATATTCGAGTTTCTAATTTCGTACCACCACGAAAAAATAATATTATCATTCAAGTTTCCAAAGATTACAAGTATCAAGTTTCACATAAGTAACGAAGTGTCGGCGAAAGAGTTAAACATTCACATCACTTAGACATGTAAATTTGATTACCACCAGGTGTCGGCACCATGACGTGGTCTCCTCAGGCTTTTGGATTGAGTGGAAAGTTTGATGAAGGAATCACTCTCCTTTCCAGGGGCTCTATAAGGGTGAATATTGGTTTGACGTTATTGTGTGTTAGGATTAAGATATCTACACAACCTATTGTTCTGTTACCCTAATTATATGACAGTAAATATGTCCGTAAAGAGAATCGGAGTTAATCTTGAGCAACAGCATGAAAAATTGTCATTTTTTTTATCAGTATAAACAAAGAAAGAGATGTAAAAATGTATATTATTATTAATTATAAAAGAAGAAATCACGAGACTTCAGAAAAACTTAGATTTATCAATAGATATAAGATACTACAATCAAACAAAATATATGTCAATCATGGGGTAAATATTTATATAATCAAGATATTACAACAATAAAAACAGTAAAACACGACTGTCACTTAGTGGGTAAAGGTTTATATAATCAAGATATTACAACAATAAAAACAGTAAGGCACGAGTAGTACTGGTGTGTAAAGATTTATATAATCCAGATATTACAACAATAAAAACAGTAAGGCACGAGTAGTACTGGTGTGTAAAGATTTATATAATCAAGATATTACAACAATAAAAACAGTAAGACACGAGTAGTACTGGTGGGTAAAGGTTTATATAATCAAGATATTACAACAATAAAAACAGTAAGGCACGAGTGGTACTGGTGGGTAAAGGTTTATATAATCAAGATATTACAACAACAAAAACAGTAAAACACGAGTGTCACATAGTGGGTAAAGATTTATATAATCAAGATATTACAACAATAAAAACAGTAAGACACGAGTGTCACTTATTGAGTAAAGATTTATATAATCAAGATATTACAACAAAAGATATTACAACAATAAAAACAATAAGACATAAGTGTCCTTCAGTACATAAAACTTTAGTTATTTTAGTTACCGCCAGGAGGCTATATACAATCGTGCTTTTTGTTTCTCACTAACAGCACTATTCAGGGACCACTGACAAAACTGTAACGGACGAGAATCGCAGTCCAAGACATCAATCTAAAATTCAACAACTTTCCTTTACCGTGGAGAAGTTAGGCTGTACATTAAACCAGTTATTCATAGGTACGTATTGTGAACTGTGGAGTTCTGAAGCTGAATATTTGTTTATAAACAAAAGAGTGTTCAGGGTAAAGATTTCTAAATGATTTTAGTGTAATATGTTTCTGGAGTAATTTCTGTGAAATATGAATTATTTGATCTCATAAGAAACTTTCACACATTCACACGTAATTATCATGTTCAACATGCCAGTCAAGGTTAGTTAACACCATCTTACTTATCACATTTACACATATTAATGATGTTTAACATGCCAGTCAAGGCTATTTAACACCATCTTACTCATCACATTCACACGTAATAATGATGTTCAACATACCAGTCAAGGCTACTAAACACCATCTTACTTATCACATTTACACATAGTAATGATGTTTAACATGCCAGTCAAGGCTATTTAACACATTCTTATGTAACACATTCACATATATTAATGATGTTTAACATGCCAGTCAAGGCTACTAAACACCATCTTACTTATCACATTTACACATAATAATGATGTTTATTATGCCAGTCAAGGCTACTAAACACCATCTTACTTATCACATTTACACATAGTAATG